AAAAGAAACCCTAAAACCCCAGAAACCCTAAAACCCTAGATACCCTAAAACCTAAGTTATTGTGGGCCTCCAACACGCGAAGACGGAAATCATGTTGAAAGAATATAAACAGAAACTATTTATATTCTTCCAAGGGGGCATTTTGTTAGTGGGAAATCGGTAAAGGGATCGAGAAACAAATGGGAGCAAATCGAGAACCCTTTTTGATTGAGTTAAAGACTGATAAATCGAAAGATAGCTGGAAAATGCGTTCGACGACCACGTGACAATATAAGCGAGAATTTGAATTGAGAATCGAAGGATGAATGTTTAATACCCGTTAGTGAATGAAATCGAGAAATCAGAATTATGTAATGTTAAGATTAAGAGAAATCAAAGGCAAGTCAAATGTTCTCGAAATTCCGAAATCAACATCGGAGAAAGGTTAACCCATGTATCGAAATCCCGACTAAGTTATAAAGAAAGAAACAATTAACGTGTACAATCAAACATGGCAAGCAATGGCAAAGGTCCAAGGTCAAAGAAGCAGTTACCTCATGTATGGGAACGTGAAAGCAGTTTGTAAACCATGGCGGAGGTCGAAGATCATGGGAACGTGGGTGCAGTTTTGACACCGAAGAAGAAACTGCAACAGGCACGTAGGACGTGGTAGCAATTTTCATTAACTGCTCCTAAGAGGTTACTTGCTTAAAGGATGCTCTATAAATAGGGCGAAGAACGAAAGGAAAAAGGGAGCAGAAAATTGGCAGAGAACAGAATCATTAGTGAGAAGTCTACCGGAGAAATGACGAACATCATAAAGCTTCTGGCAATCTGGATTTCTATGCTCATTGAGTACCTTTACCGTTTTCTGTATTTTCCTTGGTAATTTACTTTGATGCAATTTATCTTTAGCAATTATATGTTTCTGTACTTTCGATTTTTGGTCATTTCGATTCAATGAAAGTTAAGTTTCCGCGTTTAAGTTTTCTTGTCATTTAACATTGATGCAATTTCGATTTCCAAGTTATTTATACTTTCTGCACATTTAACTTACTGTCATTTATACTTCCTGTTATTTACATTTCTGCTGTTTCGATTCCCTGTCTTTTATACTTGAAGCAAATTTAAGATTTCCGCATGTTACGTTTCTTTGCAATCTAATGTTCAACACTGCTTTTCGATTCTACGAATTTTCTGCTTTCTTTACTTCGAGCACTTTAAATATAAAATATCAAAAATAGTATCTTTGAAATCGGGCAAAATTCGATCTTCATACGCATCTCGATTGAAAATTAATTTGCTAGCCTAAGTAAAAAGAACTTACGTAGTAGAATTTTGATTAGGATCAAAATATCTTAAGAGTCGAAATCGATCGAAATTCCACCAGAAACAGATTGACATATTCAAGAGAATGTGACACTAGCGTACGTGTTCTACAATGGCATATGGTCTGTGAACATACTGTTGTAATGATTCTTAGCATGAAGCATGGTGAAAGCAAGATAAGAACTTAACACGTTTTTTCGATAAAATAATACTATGACTTTCGTTCTTTGTATGTTTTGAAATGAAATTTCTCTCTCGATACAATAGTATTTACACCTATCCCAAAAAACAGTTTTTGTTTTTTTCTTCATTAAAAGAAAATCAAATCCAACCAAACCACTCTACAGTTGATGAACCTGTTTTTATAAAGAAGTTTGCTTGGATTTATCCTTTTTCAAAACATATATAGTTTTATATTTTTCGAAGAAGTTAACTGAACTATGGTAGAAATCTCAGTGGAATAGATTTTTTTTTTTTTATGAAATTCAAGTAATATATTATTAATAAATAAATATAAATAAATACAAATAAATTATAAATATTTAAATAGATATATTTAATGCAGAATCAAAATTATATATATATATATATATATATATATATATAAGTCAATTTTTTTTTAAAAGGTTATTACTGTTCACTTTTCAATAAGCTCCTGACGACTGATAACTAATAAAATTGAAAAATGACTTCGGAAATACGTTTTGGAGGCGATTAAAAGTCAAATGAAAAAAAAAGGTCCGCGTAACGAAGCGACAAAAATTTAGTGACGAAAACTAGAGCCATGACATGAGTGTCTAATTTGGAAGATCACTAGAACTTAAACCCAAAAAAAAGCTATGATACGAGTTACTATTGGTTGAGCCAAATTTATAAAATAATACCGAGTCCTTAAAATTAAAAGATTAAAAACCCAAATTAGTTTCTAATTATGATAAAATAAATATTAGTCCTTGAATTTATTATCTATTATCAAATTAATTTATATTCATTGAAGACAAGTGTAAACAAATTTCTTCCTAAGGATTTTAACGAAAAAAGAAACTAAAAATTAAAATTAGCTTATTCATAAGTTAATTCATAATTTTTTTTCATATAATTTGTCTAACTTTTTGTTTTATTAATTTATACTCGTAAATTAAAATTAGTTTATACATAAGTTAATTGGAAAAAAATTTCATATCATTTCTCTAATTTTTGTTTTTTAATTTATACATAAATTAAAATTAACTATAAAGAAATTTTTTTTTTTATTTTCTCTTCTAAAAATTATTATATATATATTCAAATATTTTTTTAAATTTATACATAAATTAAAATTAACTATAAAGAAATTTATTTATTTTTATTTTTCTCTTCTAAAAATTATTATATATATATATATATATATATATATATATATATATATATATATTCAAATATATAGTAAGAGTTTATGCTAATTTTAACATTGTATTTTATTATGTTGCAAATTAAGTACTCATGACTTTGTACATACTATTCACATTTGTAGAAGAATTATTTTGAGTAGTTTAATACTAGATGTAAAAACTAAAAAAAACTCTAATTTAATTCTTATTAAATATTGTCATATTAATCCTAAAAATTTGCATATGTTATTACATAGTCATTGAGTTTGACCAATTCAAAATATGCTCCCTAATCTATATTTCGTCCTTCTTTATTAGTTTAAACATTAAAACATGAAGTGTAAACACATAAATTTCCTTATACAAAGATGTAGCCCCAGATCTTGCTACTAAACAAAACAAATATAAGTAAATACTATATCTAATTTCATTAAATTTCTGGACTAATATAATAGTAACTTTAAATTCAAAAACTAATTTGAAACTAACTTTAATCTTTTTAAATTTTTGTGTACATGTGAATATATAGACGTGCCACATACACATAACATGTAATGATGTAAGTAAGATGTTACATTAAAATCAATTGAAAATAGTTGATAAAGAGATTAAATTGAATGACAAAATACAAATTCCGCAACTATTTATTTTCTTCGATGCTAAATTTAATAACTAAATGGGAGAGGTTTACTCAAAAAGAAAATTATTAGTATATAAGGATGTAATGCACGCTGAAAAGACACATCACAAAACAAATTATTTAATTTGTCTAATATCAACAATTCATATGCAACCAAAGTCTTAATTGTTTCTTCCATCAATCATTAATTTAGAGGTATATGCTCCTAATCTTGTTAAGTTAATAGGGTGAATCACGCGTAAACACGCAACATGTTGAGAATAATATTATGATAGAATGAATAAAGAAATAAACTGTTTATTACTTCAAAAATTGAAATGGGTTCACCTCATTTTGTTGTCAAATATGTACAACATCTTTTGTTACTTCCATCAATCATAAACTTGTTCACAAAATTTGGATTATATATATATATATATATATATATATATATATATATATATATATATATATATATATATATATATATATATATAATCTAAATGTGTTAGTGTCATTATTTATTAAGCCAAATAATAAAATGATCTGACTAAATTAAAGTTTTAGCCAAAGACATAAGTCGTCAAAATAAAATTGTGTAGAGACCATATATTAATTTCTAATTTGATGAGGGTCAAATTGGAAATAATAAAACTTAAGTAATTAACCTAATTCCGGTTATATAAAGGGTCATGGTTCCCTTCTGGAGCACAGTAGATAGAACGCAGCTTATAGTCCCGTTCTTTTCTTTCTATCCCCATCAAGAGAAAAAATCAAGAGGAAATACATGTGCTTCTTCAGGTGGAAGACCATAAGATCAATAGTGCTCTAGAAGGGACATCATCATTATGGCTAATTCAGGTACGCTTTCGCATTTAGTTTATAACATGTTTACAGTATGAGATTACTTTATATTTGATTGTTAGATTAAAGATCATATTTAATTATTAGTTTTCCTTTCAAATGGTATCAGAACCAACCCATACTTGATTCATGTTTTTCTTAGGAAATATTTAAGAATTGAGATTAATTTATGAAACCCTTAATCCATAATTAAAAACCCCAAAATTAAGAATCCTAGAATTTCTTAAAACCCAATTCTCTATTCCGCATGTGTCATTATCCGGAGAGGGTTTAACTGTTGGCTCAACACGCGGAATTGGAGAAGACCGCGTGACGTCCAGTGTGGTTGGCAAAGGGAGTTGGTGGGTTTAAAGGCACCATGATGGTTATCCTATGGCCTGTTGCACCTGAAGATTTTGGCTAATTCAGATTTTTTGGTGTGGGACTCCGTGCTTTTACTCCATATGGTCCAAGGTTCTCTGGTGATTTTGGAGGGCCCCTAGTAGCCTTGATGTTTCGTAAGAGACCCTCTCAACCTGGGATGTTTCCAGGTGTTTGTTGCACTCCACATCGATCACCCAACCACACTTCACTTTTGGGCCCCCACCAATCCAACGTCCCAAAAGTCTTTTGTCCTTCTCATCCACGGCTTTGGGCCTGCGGCCATATGGCAGTGGCGCCAACGGGTCCAATTCTTAACCCCTCACTTCAACGTTTACGTTCTGGACTTGATTTTCTTCGGAGGGTCCGCCACCAAATTGAGCGAGAGGAGCGAAATGTTTTAGGCAGCATCGGTGGGGAAGCTTCTGGATATATTGAAGGTGGAGAAGTTCCAGGTGGTGGGAACGAGTTATGGAGGCATGGTGGCTTACAATTTGGCCAAGATGTTGGGGGAAGAGAGGGTTCAGAAAGTGGTCATTGCTAGCTCCGGTGTTAACATGACACTTGTTAACAACGTGGCCTTGGTTCAGAGGGCTCAATTGGACAACATTGAGGACCTCATGTTACCTTACACGCCGCAACACTTGCGAAAATTAATTTCCCTCTCCATCCACAAGTCTTTGCACAGATGAAGCATCGCCTTGGTTGGGTCTCGCGGTTCAAGGTAAAGGAGAGGTATTGAAGGACCAGACAGTGGTCGTAGGGGCTGCTTCTCCTCTGCCGCGATTCCTCTTCCCCTTCTGCAAATGCACCTTTGTGTTTTTGGTTTTCTGCAAGTCTGTGCAGTGTGAAACCACTAAGCAACAATTTAGATAAATCTATCTTCTTTTTCAAGTGATGGTCTAAGCAAGCTAGGCTAACTAGGGCATAGTGGACAGTGATAGCAGCGGCTTGTTATCCCTCCACTGTTGGGAAAGGGAGGTTTTCGCTGCACTGTGAATCCAGCCTCACGCATTGCCCTCCTCTCTAAGACCCAAGAGATCTAGACCTTCGTCCAAATCCCATGAGTCAACTCTTAACTTGGAATGGGCAGGCCAACTCATTGCAATCAAAGCCCAACCCAACAAGCCACAAAGATATCCCATCACCATAATGCCCTCACAAGAGTCACAAGCTAGCGTAAATCTATTATTTCTCTCCTGAAGCCCACACATTGCATCAAATGCACAAATTGACTATGGGGAATGCTGTTAGCAAATTGTAGTTTTGTTATATAATCACTATATTCAATATAAATAAATAATTATATAAATTTGGTTTTGTTATATAAATAAAATATTACCTTTTTGGTAGTTTAATATTTTTGTGAACAAATTGAGTCAAGAAGTTACCAAAGTAACATTTCTTGAATTGGGTAGTTCGTAAAAATTATTGAATGTTAGTGTTTGTGTATATTCATGCGAGTATTAGTCGGCCCAAAGAAAGATTAATATTTGGCCGAATTACATACACACTTGTAATGATAAACATGTGATAATTATAAAGATTTGCTTTGTCGATGATAAATCAATCCAAAGTCTCGGTTTGTTGTTGACGCGCTTTATCATTAATGTTTGATTATTACAACAAGATACCTCTAGCAGCTTAATATTACCGTCCAAAGACTTGATATTGATGATGCATTGGGTGTCTTGAGATGGGTTAAACCATTATTTGAATATATATTTTATTTATAATTATTTAATTTTATAATTGAGCATAATTAATTTATTTCTTTTGTTCTTAATTCAATCTACAATTGCTTCAGTATCCGCCAATTTAAATTCCGTTCCGGTCCTCAATGGAACAAATTTTAAGGACCTGGAAAGAGAACATTGATATTATTCTTGGTCGCATGGATATGAATCTTGCGTTAAGGACTGAGGAACCCCCTCTTCCTACGGATTCAAGTACTTCTGAACAAAAAAGAGATTATGAGAAGTGGGATCGCTCAAATCGCATGAGTCTAATGATCATTAAGCGCGACATCCCGGAGGTGTTTGGGGGCACTGTTTCTGAAAACATCACAATTGCCAAAGAGTTCCTTGCTGAAATTGAGCAGCGCTTTACAAAAAGTGATAAGGCGGAGGCAAATACTCTTCTTCAGAACTTGATCTCCATGAAATATCAGGGCAAAGGAAATATCAGGGAGTACATTATGAGCATGTCTAATATTGTTTTTAAACTCAAGGCACTAAAGCTCGAACTCTCAGAAGACTTGCTCATTCATTTGGTGTTGATTTCTCTTCCCGCAACGTTTAATCAGTTTAAGGTATCTTACAACTGTCAAAAGGATAAATGGTCTCTTAATGAACTCATTTCACATTGTGTACAAGAAGAAGAAAAGCTAAAGCAAGATAAGATAGAAAGTGCTCATTTTGCAAGTACCTCTAAGGTTAAAGGCAAAAGAAAGAGTTCGGAGGATCCCAAGAAGGAAGATGCTAAAGGTCCAGAACAAAAGAAACAAACTCAAGAAAACAAATGTTTCTTTTGCAATAAGACTGACACGTAAAGAAGCAATGTGCTAAATATCATGATTGGCGTGAAAAGAAAGGGTTGCCTAAACTACCGAAGCCAACTGATTCTCGAAAGATGGATATACGTTGAAAACGACAAATCGGTGGAGATGGAGACTATTGGACATTTTAGATTATTATTGTGTACTGATTTTTATTTTAGATTTAAAAGATACTTTTGTATTGCCGTCTTTTAGACGAAATTTGGTTTCAGTTTATTATTTGGACAAATTAGGTTATATGTGTTCATTTGGAAACAATGAGTTCAGTTTGTCTTTTAATTCAGATATTGTTAGAATTTGTTCACTTTTGGCTCATGATAATCTATATTTACTTAATATTGTGGTCACCTATAATGAAACTCTTAATACGTAATCCCGTGGTACTAAACTAAAATTGGACTCCGAACAGTAAGTAGTTACTTCATTGGTTATTCTGAAAGAGTCGGGGATATAAATTTTATGATCCCACGTTAAAGACAATTTTTGAGATGGGAACTGTTATGTTCTTTGAGGATATTGAGTTTGGGGGAAGAATAAGATTAAGAATTTTGTATTGGAGGAAGAATCGACAATAAATCCGAACCGATTCAAACAAGCTACTTTTGATAAAGTAAGTTCTGAACCTCCATAAGACATTGATGATAAACCCCATATTCAAGATGATTTGATTGTTCGTCAAGACCAAATTCAAGATCCTCAAGATTCTCAAGAACTCGTGCGTCATGAGCCGGGATACTCCGAGTTACTAAGGGAGACAAGTTTAGTCTAAATTAAGTGCCCAAAGTGGAATTTGAAAATTGAGGAAATGCAACAAATTCCCCATGCATCAGCCTATCGGGAGTTTGATGTATTCCCAAATATGTACGTGTCCGGACATAACATACATAGTTGGGGTTCTAGGCGAGATATTTAAGCAATTCAGGAATAGACCATTGAAAAGCGAAGAAAAGGGTCGTAAGATATTTAAAGAGAAAAAAGATTATATGCTCACATACAGCAGTCGGACCGATTGGAGATCGCTGGGTTTTCCGACTTAGATTTTGCAGGATGTCAAGAATTTGTAGCATGCTATGAGGTATCAAATCATGGAATATGGCTGAGAAATTTTGTCACAGGGCTGCAAATTGTGAAAGGCATTGAAAGACCACTTAAGTTATATTGTGACAATAAATCAGTTGTATTGTTAAGGAAAGAGTACAAAGTGGACAGATTTCCATAGAACACTTAAGGATAAACTCCATGATAGCATATCCTCTAACTAAAGGACTTCCGCCCAAGGTCTTTCATGAGCATGTTGCTCACATGGGTGTTTTACAATTTGAGGAATTTGTGGTTTAGTGGGAGTTAGTCACTTTCATATATTTTATGTTCTATGTTTAATTTCATATATGTATACATTGATTTTTGGACATATTTGGTTATCTATAGATATGCGGTTTTTTCGTTCATTCATTACACTTTGTACATTACAAATATTATATCGATCTCGATAAGTTAAAGTTTGGACCAGTTGAAAATAGACGTGTACATATCACCTTCACGTAATTTTCATGCTACACATTTCATGATGAATCCATGTCATTTGATTATGTTAGGATGAGTAATCATTGTTGGTTTTAATTGCGATGATGCAATGAAAAATTGATTTGGTTCTATATCCTGATATGATTAATGGACAGGACTTTTGGAGTATGCTAAAGGAATATAATGACAATTTTGAGCTCATAAAGTCTAACACATTTGTAAGGTTGTAAGGACATATATATTTGTGACCAGTGGGAGATTGTTGGCAAAATTTGGGTCATGTATATATATGATACATAATTTAAATGTGTTAGTGTCATTATTTATTAAGCCAAATAATAAAGTGATCTGACTAAATTAAAGTTTTGGCTAAAGGCATATGTCGTGAAATAAAATTGTGTAGAGACCATAGAGTAATTTCTAATTTGATGAGGGGCCAAATTGGAAATACTAAAACTTAAGTAATTAACCTAATTCTGGTTATATAAAGGGTCATGGTCCCCTTCTGGGAGCACAGAGATAGAACGCAGTTACAGTCCCGTTCTTTTCTTTCTATCCCCATCAAGAGAGAAAATCAAGAGGGAAATACAGGTGCTCTTCATGTGGAAGACCATAAGATCAATAGTGCTCTAGAAGGGACATCATCATTATGACTAATTCAGGTACGCTTTCGCATTTAGTTTATAACATGTTTACAGTATATGATTACTTTATATTTGATCGTTAGATTAAAAATCATATTTAATTATTAGTTTTCCTTTCAAAACTAGGTTTATCTTTTTGTCACATGGTGATTTCTCAACTACATATATATGATATTTATTGTAGTTTTAATTTCTCAACTGTCATAAAATTGATGATTTTTCACGTTAAAATTTCAATATAAATTTCTCCTTTATAGATTATCTTTACCGATGAGTAAGATGTTTAACCAACATTACATCGTAGAAATATATTTAATTTGAATTTGATAAGATCTTTATTCATATGAAATTAGAATCATCATCATCATCTCTTTATTATATTCGGTTTTAGTGCTAGTACCAAAATAGTGAACCTTCTATAATATGTATTCCCTTCATTTGATGTTTAAGAGAATAAAGAAAACTTCAAACCATGGGCACAAAATAAAGTTTTGTAAAAGCATTGTAAGATAAAAGTTTAGTAGAAACTATTGGAATCAGTCTGAAAAGTTTTGATAATATGCACTATTGCTTTCTTTTAGTTAAAGAGAAGCAAAGCTTGTACAATAGAATTGAATCTGAATCATTAATTGAATAGATATTCAGTATATATTATTACATATGTTAATCCCATGGTAGAGTATCAACAACGTTATATTACAGGACATACATAGCATTGAACCAGGAATATTATAAAATTGTCTTGTCAAACAATATTTATGACTTCTCAAATACACAACATTTATGATGCTGGGAAGTAGTAACTAACTATATCTTATAATATTTACCTGTGAGCTAGATTTCTATATGACTCAAATGCTTATAAATGGCTATGCTCTTGAACTTGCAACTGGTCTGGTTGAAGGCTCAGCTAGGAAGCCATTAGGGATGTGGTGAGGTTGGTCACCACCCCCTGCAGGAACCAACAAGTCAGAGAGTGCTACCTGAAGAGAGGAAACTTTCTCTTTTAGCTGCGCATTCTGTTGGTGGATTTGTTGGTTACATTCCAGCAAGTAAATGATCTTTTGGGACAGTTGATGGTTTAGAGTCTGCAGATGATCAACGTGATACTGCAGGACTTCAATCTGTTGCTTCTTTCGCATGCGCGACCTGCGAGCAGATTCTCTGTTGGAGAACATCCTCTTCTTCTTTCTGTCATCAAGGAGAGCCCTTGCTTCGTCAGAATTGGTGGTGTTGTTGTTGTTACTGTTGGATGATGTGTTGGGAGAGGGTTTATGGAGTGGGATTTGAATTGGGTTGTGGCTGTTGTTTGGAAGGTTCACTTGGGAACAGAAAAATGGAATATGGTGTAAACTTTGAGGTTGATCCAGATGGGTCAAAGCATGGGCTTCACCCGTTTCCATTGTTGAGGTCAGGATGGGTTTCTGGGCTGGAGAAGGATAATGAAAGCAGTGTGTTAAGGAAGCATAAGGTGCTACATGGAGTTCATCATCTTCATTGCATTCCATGTCTCAGTTTTTCATGTGAGTGGAGAGAGATGGAACTAACTGGTCTACAAGTTTTATAGCTTGGAATTTGATAGTTAATGCAGATAGAGCACAAGTAGGTAAGGGAATTTCTTGGCATTTAAATGGGCTAATGTATTTATAGTTGAGTTAAGTTTCGTAGATAATATTGGTTCTACATACTGGGAAAGTTAAGAATATATATACCATGATAAGATTAAAAACAAATGATGGTTAGATAAACTTTGTTGAGCAAAATAATGGAAAATAATAATTGACATTGAGACAAAGAGATTTGAGAAGGAAAGTGGTTTAATGAGAAGGCAATGCCATTGACTTTTTGATTATAAGTATGCCTAAAACATTATACAAAGCAACAAATTCAGTGATTCTCCAACCTATATGAGAGTTAGAGGATCAAATCATGCCATGTAAGCCCATAATCTCATACCCAATTCAGTAAAATGCTGGCTAGGGGACTCTATCTGCAGTTCTTTTTCCTATTTTGGTCTTAGATGTATACTCTACTCAATAAAAAATGGCAATGCGCGTTAACTTTTAACTTCATCTATTTCAACCTAAATTTAGGATACAAACTTCACTCAAGCTATGAATATATTATAATTCCTGATATTTAAGGACATCTACAAAACTGATAACACAGCTTTAGAGTAGCTTTAAGCTTTAAATTAAATAAAATGTCACATGTTATGTGGAAAGCAAAATGAAAAAACTGGCGTTTTCGGAGTCTCCATGGAATCTCCCATCATAAACTATCACTTGGTGGGCAATGACAATGAAACATTGCTTACACGGATAACATTCATTTATATGCCAAGGTTAATTCGTATATAAAAAGTATATAAAAGTATTTAAAAAAAGTATTATACCTGCAATTGCAAAGGTCTTTTCTTCTCTATTCATTACTTATATAGGACATATACAAATTAAAAGTCTAAGATATTGCCTATAATAGGCGTATTCTCATCCATAGTAAATCACCAGCTTTTGATCCCATTGTCACGTGGAGTTTCGGATCATTAACTTTCAAGCATCATATGTGGATCTTTTAACTCAAGCCTGTTTCCTATGAAAATCAATTTTACACGTTTTAATCTAACTGAAATTAATTTAGATGGACAATTTAATAAACTATAAATTCATTCATTAATCTAAAGACGAAAATGCGTTTATGCTAACCAAAAAGGCATGGAGAAAATAATATTTTTGTTATTGCCCAATTTAAATAGATGAAACCAAGGGTAGCATCATGCCCGTGGAAAAAAAACTGGTTAACACTGCCAAATATGCCGCATTATGAAAAAAACTGCTTAAAAATAATTTACATAGGCGTGCCGTGCGTGACAATAATCACACACTGAAGTGACAATGACCGCTCCTCCTAACAAATGAATTTTTAGCAAGCAACTCAACAAGAATACCCCTAAAAGAAAGGAATGGATACCTACGTTTCTGCAACCAAAATAATATTTTCCATAACAAATATCATATTTCAAGCTACTCTCACAAGAATACAATCTTTGCATTCCTCATTATTCCACTTTCAGACAACTGCACCAAATTTGAGTATATATGTCCTTAACTGTAATTACGATCAAGAAAGTCACAAAGAAAGTACAAATTATATAACAGAGGAATAGTGTTGAAATCTCACCCTGTGTTGTCCTTAACTATAAAAAGATACCGAGACTTTAACCACACAATGAACTTTAACTACACAATGAAGGAATAACAGACCAGAACAGAAAGCATAGAGCTGACAGGAAGCTAATAGTCAAAATTGGTCGTTGCCTCTATTAACATATAAAACTAATTGCAAAATCATGAACAAAGAATACCCATCAGAAAGCTTTTTTTTTTTTTCTCTCAAAAAACAAAGGGCCCCTCAACTTCCTCTAATGATGAAAAACGATTTATCAATCATTTACATTGTCAAAGGAAGAATTTCAATCCTCTCGTGTGTAAGTTTCATGACATAACCTCGGTGCGTAAAGAAACATGCAATTTTTATAAATAATTAATAGGGCATATCAGATTACTAATGAGTGGGTGCGAACAAAATTATTTTTTAAATGAAGTGATTCATATTTAGATATTTTATTCTAAAAAGTTTGTAATAAAACTCAATATAAATTTGTTATCCAATTGGCTTCAGCTTAAAATCAATTTTGAACTCGGAATCTAAAATTAAACATATGAACTAACTAACATTCCGATGCCAAATAAACGGTCTTCCTTTCGCATATGCAAAGAAGTTTTTCCCAATTTGATCACATGACCTACCAATCACAGCAAACCACAATTAAAAATGTGAAAATTTACCTAAATATCTGATATTTCAGTGTAATTACAGAGATTTGAATGTGAATGCGAACAGCAGTAAAAACACGAGGGGATAAAATCCGTCAAAGGGGCATGCTTACACTTCCACAGTGTTCCTCCAATATCCTAGTGACTGAGAACAGCAAGAGATAGCAGAACCGACAAAAACAAGAGCATAAGGAAATCACAACAACCACAAATTGCAGGGAAAATTGATTCATTTATGTGATGTATCCCAAAGTACAGTTGGAAGAGAAAATCCCTAAACTCAAATCTTGAAAATCAACAAGCACATCACATGCATTTGTTCAGGAGCAAAAAAAATCTATAATTGATCAAATACCCTATCACTGAACATACATTAAGTAAACATACGATCATAATGATTACACAACAGATCTCTGTGCCTTCCTCCGCTCATAATCAGCATCATCAGTGGGAAACTCGTAGCGACAAACGGGACACGTGTTCCTTATCCCCAACCACGGCACAATGCAGTCCCCATGGTAACGATGCGAACACGGCAACAGCTTCACTCTTTCCCCAACGCCAAACTCCTCCTTACAAACCGCGCAAACCATGTTTTCGTTTGCCACGTCAGCAGTGCTCACGACCACAGCCGGAAGGTTCCTCACGGCAGAGACGGACGCCGGAGGCTTCCCGGCGAAGGCGTCCTCGTTGAATTGACCGAACATCTCGTACTCAGCGGCGTACACGAAATCCTCGTTGTCATCAAAGAAAGGCTCGGAATTCGTTCCGTCCAAATTGCTGGCGTTCAACAGAACCTGCCACTCCAAATTGTTGGCCCCCGATTCCAATTCTCCTTCCCCCTCCGCTTCCTCTTCGATTCCGACAGAGATGGAAATGGAGGTGTCGTCGAGCATGCTCAGAACTTCTCTCTCGTCGACCACTTCCTCCCACTCGAAATCCTCGTAACTGTCTCTGTTGTCTTCCAATCGCAGCGCGTTCAAGCAGAGAGGAATACTCGAAACGTCGTCGTTCACGTTGTACTCTTCCTCAGAGTGAGTGCAGATCCCGAGGTCGACGTTTCCGGAACGGGAGAGCGATTCTTCGGAGTCGGATCCGACGGATAGCCGGCGTCCGACGAAGAAGACGTCGTCGGCGGGGAAGCCAAGGTTGAGGGCGTCGATGACGCCAAAAACGGCGTCGTTAGAGAGGGGATCGGTGATTTGCGACTGCTCCACGCGCTGGTGGAAAAGATCCATGACGAAATTGACCTGGTTTTCGCGGTCAGTGAGGGAGAAAGGGTTGGGGGGAAATTCGGGGTCGAAATCGAAGTCTAGATCCCAATAAGGGAAAGGAATTAGGATTTGGTCATCGTCGTGGTGGTGGCGGTGGCGGAGGTAGGTTGTTACGTCTGCCATTGTTGGGTGTGTGGGAGGAGAAAGTGTGGTCTGAATGGAAAGTGTGGGGTTTTTGGGGCTATATCGGGTTGGGGCGCGGAATGACGGAAGTGCCCCTGTCTATTGCAATTCAATGTCCGTGCCTTGTCTCGCCCGGAATACGGGGAAGCAGACCGTTTCGCGCTCTCTTTACGCACACGATGTGAATGTGTCGCCCTTCCTTTCCTTTGCCACTCAAATTCTACACTTTTTCATTCTATTTTATTTTATTTCTCTCAAATACATTATACTCCAAATCGGATTTTGTACTCCATACGTCTCTCTATTTATTACACAACATTTAAATGCTCTATTTATTCTGGGAATTATATTTCTTCCTCTTATAAATATTTTTATTTTTTAGTTCAATTTAATTTTTTTGTATTTACCAATCTATATACAAATAAATTACATTAAATTTTGCATTCAATGTATTTATTGAGAACGTGAATCATTTTAATAAAAGAATAGTTGGGTGATAAAATATAATTTTTAATCCTATATAATTTTTTTAGTGCACCAAATAAGATATTTTCCTTGTTCCCATTTAAAACATTCAATTACTTAATTCACCAAAAGTAATTAATTAATTAATTTAATCAATAATATATATATATATATATATATATATATATATATATATATATATATCATAATTTGTTTATATATAGAACTACACTTCTCAGTAGTACGTTTTTTCTCTTCTTCTAATGGTTTCAGGATACACATCTTCTCTTTCATTTATTTAGAGATTATATAGTTTAAAATTAATTAATACAAAACTCATTATGAATCTAATATTATGAGGGGAATATCGTCGCTTCTAAATTTGGTGTTAAAAATAATAATGGAGAGAAATATAAATTAGACTTAACTGATAAAGTTATTGTTTCTTAAAACTACATATAATTCCCTTTTTTTAAGCCAAAAATTATAATTTAAATAAATTATATAAAAAATTTATTTTATTTATGTAGTTAATTTTACTTAAATGTGGAGGAAAAACTCTTTGCCTTCGCAGAACATTAAAAATGTTAATGGTTATGACATTAGTTGACTCCTTTCATAAAGGAAATATTTTTCATCTGAGATTATCCATAAAATCCTGCTAAGTTACTGTTTCAATTTAATAATTTTATCTTATGTGTTTTTTAGACTATTTGTTTTCAAGTTAATTACCCAATTTCATTACTAATTACATCAATTTTATAATTAAATAAATTTAGGTTCACTTAATCAATAATAAATGTAGTTGGAACTATGATGTCTGATCAAATGTAATGAATCGATTTTTTTTTCCTTTTATAAAAACTAATCATTTACAATTTTGATGAATATTTAATATTATTTGTAAAAAAAATAAAAAATGCAATTACGTCAGTTTCTTATGAAGAAAGATTCATGTTAATTAATAACGAAAATAAAATCCATTAATAGACTATTTATTAATAAATTAGTGAATATTTTATACTAATAATATCATAAAAAATTATAATTTAGTTTTCTATTGCGTTATATTTTTCTCAGCTCTTGTAAATTTCTTTTATATTTAAATAAGTTTCATACCAACTTTTGCTTTGAATAGCTAATAAATTATAAACTCTACGTATTTAAAAAATTATAAAAAATTGTTTTAAGTTTCTAAAAATTTATATTTATTTGTATTTTTTATTTATATTAATTCTTTCAAATTATAAAAAATATTCGTATTTTTTCTTTTGATTCAACAGTTTTTTAATATAATAATTATATATTTTTATTATATAATAATGTATCCAACAGTATTTGTAAAATAAAGGATTCACAGGTATAGCAAATTTTTTAATTTAATAAATACATGATAAGTACAACTTACATAAATAACAAATAGGTTTTAAACTGAAATGCTTAATTTCTTATATAACATACTTTAAAAATATATTTACATATTATTAAGAACTCAAACTTATTTAAATTTTGTTAATATTAAGTTTATATATATATATATATATATATATATATATATATATATATATATATATATATATATAGTATTTTCCTTTTGAAGTAAAAAATGTCTCTTCAACGCAACTTCTTCTTTTTTGGTGTGGAATCGAGTGGCTTTGGTATGTGCCACCGGTAAACTAGTCCATTGGGCTCAGTGACCACATTAAAATGGACTTTCTTTGGCCCATATTTTTCCTAAAGACACTGCTATTTTCACTTCAATATTATTTTTTCCCTGTTTCATTACACCTCGCTCCCAAATATATCCGTGACGGAAATATTTTTTGGTATGAATTTTAAATTAAAATGAGATTATGAATTTTTTCATTAAAGCACTCAGTTAACAAGACAATAAGGAAATAAATTCAAATTTAATAACAACCACACTCAAAATCATTTTAATTAATTTCTATAATAATTTTTTTTACTCAAAAAGTGAATTCTTTTAACATAAAAATGTGTATAAAAGAACACTGGTAATGTACCTTTAAGTGTTGGGTTCATACAAAGAGACCCGAATTATTTTTGTAGGTTTCATTAATTTGTTGTAATTATTTATTTATATCATTTAATTTTATCTCACTTTTAATAAATATTTTAATTAATTTTGAATCGATTCAAATTTTTTTAATATTCAAATTCACCTATTATCATATAAATTTATAATTAGCTACAATTTTAAACTGTCATAAAAAAACTATTCATAAGTAACAGTGTTAGTCTTTACGTGACATTGTCACTAATCATATTAATAATGCTTAGTCCATTTAAACTAAAAATACCAATTTGCATCGTTATTTTTTAAAATAATACTATTAAACGTAATAAAAAATCAATCACGCAGAAAGATAATTATATCTTATCTTTTTTCATCTAAACTAAACAAAACCATTCCCAAAGATATTTCGTTCTCCTCAAGTTAGTGCAAATATTTTTTTTGAATTTGTACTTTATTTAGTTTTTGTAATTTTTTTTTGTATATAGAACGATGTAATGTCTTTATGTGATTATGGTTTTGTGCTGAATATAACTATTTCAAAAGCCATTGTGTGTATTTTGTTGTGTTGATTTATAGTTGAAAAATCTTTTCTAAAATGAGTGAATACCATGAAAAATCGTCCTTAAGAGAGTATGATGATTTTTTTAAAATAAAAAATGTGATAAAATCTTATATTATCTAGATATATAATAATATTATAATATATAAATAAGTATATTAAATTTATTTTATAAAATTAAATTAGATAATATTATAATCTATAAATAAATATATTGACTTGATTTTGTAAAATTAAATTAAATGCGTTGGTGATAGTTTTGTATTTGGATCTTCGTGCGGTAAAGTATCCATATATATATTATTTTGGTTGTGTGGAAAAATAATATCCTATTTAGAAGCGACTACGGTTTCTTTTCGTTTGACATTTTATAACAATTTATCTGTAAGAGTTTTTTTTAAGAAAGAAAAAAATATAAAAATAAGTTAAATTAATTAAAAATAAGAATTTAAGTTGGTGAAAGAAGTCTGAACTCGAAAATATAAAATAAAAGTAACTAATTGACACTCCTTAAATTTAACATGTTATATAACAATTAATGTAAAATCACCGACTAAAAGAAGTTGATATGTCTTCAATTTCTATTCCCTTTCACTTTATTATCTGGTGGAGTAGTGTGCACCAATAGACATCAACGTGAATGACGCTTTTGCATTATATTTATTTATTTGAATTTTCTCTTATGTGATCTCCCCTCATAATTTATCATAAACTTCTAAAAAAATATATGGAATTCTAATAATATGTACAAATTAAGGAGGCTAAATAAAATTATCATGTTAGGATGAAATTTTAAATGTTCCTGACTTTTACCTTACAAATTAAACATAAAATAGCTTTAAAAGTTTAGAAACAATAAAAAACAATGTTTCTTCATTATTTCATTCATAAGTGGTAAGAACAAAAAAATAAAGTGGAACTGCCAATGCAAAGGTCAAGGAAAATAAGTGCTTTTTTTATATTTAATAATTTTTTTGTCACAATTGTGAATAAATTAAACACACTTAATTATAACATTATTACTCGCTAATCGTAATGGTCAAATGAGAACACTTCTTTCAAAGCACCCTACCATGTTGGTCAAAATGAGAAAAGGCTTAAAGCTAAACGTATATGCTCCCTACTTAAAACCCCAAGAAGGAGATACAACTGTAAGTATAAACTTTGCATATAAGTATATAATAATGCACATTATACACGGTTTACCACAAAGCGTGCCCTAATTTATTTCTCCCATCCCCACTCACTTTTAGGTAATTGTAAAAAGCTCAAGCTATGACCACTGTTTCTCAATAGTATATTGATATGAACATACAAACCCTACATACAGTTTGTTAGGTTTTGTTTTCCTATTCCGAGATTGGACTCAAGGGTTGTCTCTAAAAACGGAATCTGAGACTAAGAAACAACTCTATTTACATGGTCTGAAATCGAACACTTATTATATATATATATTATATAGTTACTAATCTCTTGTCTCATTTATATACAGTTTGTTAGGTGAATCGAAAAAGGTGAACGAAGTTTCAAAGGAAGTGGAGCGTGGAGTTACCCTATGATGGAAGATGGACCCGAACAAGTTCTCCTCGTTGCATGCATGACGGCCGACAAGAGCTGAACAACTCGTATCTTCCATTTCACGCGATCATACACCTTTTTTCTTCACTTTGACTTCAACCCAATCTCACTCCCACATACAAAACAATCCCTTTTTCAACATTGTTCTCGCTAGTCGCTAATTCCTTTTCCCAAGCAACGACTATGGAAGTCTCAATATAGTAGTTTACAGTAATTAATATTGATATACTTTAACATTAATATTAATACTAATAAACAAATCATTATTCTTTAATTTGTTCATAAAGAGCCAAGAGAAGCTGTCTAGCTTTGACGTGCATGTGGGTTAACTTGGACCCTATAAAGAAAGACCCCCTTCTGTTTCGCAGGATTCCTCTCCTCTTTTTGTTCAACGACATACCCTTACCACTCTGTGTTATTCCATTCGTAATAATGGTGTCGGCAAGCTTAAGGTCCACTACCTTTCTCCTAGTTTTCATTTGGCTTCCTCTAAGATTCTCCAGCGCACACACCCAACACCAAGGTTCACAAACTTTTCACTTTCCCCATCATCTCTTTTTTTCCTCTGTTGTTGCCATAATGTTGTGTTCAATCAGTTTACCTCACCTTTGTCGCAAAAATTACCTTAACCTTTTGTAAAACTTTATTGTTCAGGTAAGAAGACACTGGTGGTTACCAATATTGAAACAGCAAGTCCAGTTGAGGTAAGAATATGCATTAATTATTATATACATGTGACAGATACACGTAATGATTCTAAGAATGACTTATTGAGGCAACGTTTTTTCTACCAAGATTTATCACGGTGTTTCAGCAGTTGCTGAGACAGATCGAGGAACGAGATATCCTTCTGGGAGAAAGATGATGTCTAGAATTGTATTCTCGAAGGTGGAAGAGGCTGAGAATGGAACTAATGTGGCAAAGAACTTAACCACCAAATGGAACCATGAAGAAGGGAAAGGAATTTTGAATGTGAAACAGCATAAAGTTGGTAAAAGGAATAGTGGACATTCTAAGAAAGCCAATATGTCTGCTTTGGTGCCTCTAAATGCTGATTATTATGTTCCAAGACCTCACCCGCCCAAGAATAACTGAACTACCAAGTTTGAAGCATATAACTAATATACGCAATTTTGACATATATATGTAGTGTGTTTTAGTTTGGTTAGTTTTTACCTACTTCTAACCACGTTTGCTTTGCCTTTGTTCTCAGTTTTGTGGTGTTAGGATAGTAAACTAGGTGATTGATTATACTTGTACGTAAATTGAGGCTTTAAATGTGAACTCAGCTATTGTTCCCAAAAGAGTTTTTCTACTATTTATATTAAGATTTTGTTTAAATGTTAGTATTCTTTGTTTAAATATCCGACATTTATCATATTCGTTACTCAACTCACAAAAGGACAAATTCTGCCAACGTTTATTTTTTCTGCTCATTTGACTTCATATAAGCGAAGCCAACCTTCTTCCCATTTGGAGCATTTGCTGTATTAATATTGATTATTTAAAGTTTATATCCTCGGGATTAAATTTCTATTCATTCTAACGTCTTTAAATGATTTTTAATCAATAATTGAATTCCAAAATTATTTAATATATCAATATTAAGTAAACATATTTTTAGTTTCTAAAAAAATTCAGTAAAATTTGTTTTTTCTTTAATCTTTGTAATTTATAAAACATTTACCATTAAAAGTTTCTTTTTTAGACTCATACCGATCTATATATTTTAACTTTACATTTTTTTCATCAAACACTTCGTTGCATACTTTTTTCTTTTTCAAAGTATTTTATTCTAAAATATTTAGGATAGGACATTTGGACTACGGAAATAAATAACTTTTTTTTTAATTATACAAATAAAAAAATTAAATTTGAATGATGAAAACAAACTTTTGAGAGACAATATACATTTAAACCTTGTTTAAATATGAATTTATTAATACTATAATAAATTTACATAAATAATTATAACTCATCAATTGAATTAAAAGAAATAAAATAAGATCTAATTTTTTCCTTACAGAATTTACATTCGGACAAGTTCAAATTTGCCTATGATATATATGGAAAATTGGGCCTTTGGCCCATACGTCAGTGTAGAGGAGACAATGATGAGTTGGTCCAGAGAAACAGAGTTTTGGTGTGGCGGAGATTGTCATCTTCTTCAGCGTATGGTTCGGAACAGCTTGTGATTCGGAATCGGAAGGAGAAGTGGTGCGGGCTTCGGAGTTGAGAGATCCGACGAGGATGGAGTCGCCGTCTACGTCGTTGGGTTCTCCAAAAAAGAGGCTGAGATCCAAAGTAGAGGAGGATGAGGACGAGGAAGAGAGCGTCTGTTGCGGGATTTGCTACGCGGAGGGAGGGGTTTCGGTCGCAGGGGAAATCGATTGCTGCAGCCACTACTTTTGCTTCGTCTGCATCATGGAATGGGCTAAGCACGAATCTCGATGCCCAATTTGTCGCCAGAGGTTCTCCAACGTTCGCAGGCTCCCCATGCACGGCGTCTTTTCCTCCTCTCGGGACGTTAAGGTCCCTCATCGTGACCAGGTTCTTTTCATCTACCTTTCTTAGGGGTATATGATTATTTGTGAAACTGATCATACCAAGCTTTTTGGCATTTAGTTATTTATCAACTTGTTGAAAGTGCATATCTTGTAGGAATCAGGGAAATTTAAGGCGGGTATAACTAGCTTGTAGAGATTGATTAATTAATTCTAAACCACATATACCGACATAGCTCCGTCGCATTTAGTTAAAGCTCGGCTTCTTCCAAATCATGAGCTCATAGGGAATTTTCGATAAAAGTTTGTTGGGTACTTTGACTACGAATGTACACAGTTGTCCTTAGGCTTCTTCCCGAGAAGATCTGACAGTGATGAATGACTGACATGCATCTCTCCCAATATCCATAAGCGGTTACGTCTCTCTGTAACTTCAATCTACTAAGGAGTACTAGGCATAGTGTACTGAGTTTCAATTCCACTTATCAAGAAATTTGGCAAATGATCCTATATTTATCACAATGAACAATGCAATAATTCTAACCTCCTTCGGACCTCATAAATTTGAATTTTTTTTTTTTTTTGTCTTCAATTCAGCAACGACCTTAAAGGATTTGAAGGCATTCAGGGATTTATATTTTTCCAAAATAATATTTAAAATAAACTATGAAGGTAATAAAATACTTGTGTCCACCCATAGTAGTGGGTGCAGTCAGTCCACACATATTGGTGTGAATATGTTATAGCACATCACTTTATCACATGAATAGCTCAAGTATCATGATTCCAAGTGAATCCGAAGATTTTGGCACAATGGTGTTATCATGCTATTGAGTTGTGTGTTTAAACAGAAAGCATGACATGACATGACGATGTTGTGAAGTCCACAACAAAGGCAATTGCTACTGCCTTATACATCGCAACAGGTTTGAATTGTGTCCTAGGCATAGCATCCTTGTCAAGGGTATTATGATGAGATGCAGAGGTTGAGTCCAGCTAGTGGGTCAGGCATAGAAGACGATTAGGGTTTAGGAAGAAAGGAAATGAAAGAAAACTAGGTCAGATGCGGGCTTAGTGGGCCTTGTTGCCTTCAAAATCTACATGGCTTTATTTTAAAAAGACTCACACTTAGAAGGTTAAGTGCGTTATGAGTTTTTAAAACCTTCATGATTGTTATGTTTCATTTCGTCTATTCTAAATAGTTAATTGGGATGTCAATTTTAAACTTAAAGGCCCATCAAATAGCTTAGAGTTTTTTTTTTGTCTTTAATGTTAATATATATTTGTTTTCATATCTCATATCTTTCTTTATGTTAAAATGATCCTAGAGATATTTTTTTTGTTTTTGATCATATATATACCATATTCTATTATTGATCATGAATCATGGTACTATTCGATTTGCGATTCAAAAAATAGGCTTTCCGATTCATACTTTGTATGCTGATTCAACAAACTTCAAAATAAATATGTTAGATTCACATGATATATATTTGCTAGATTGGTATTAATTAGTTGTATCTATCTATGAGTTGTATCTTCTAGATGTTAATCTTTTCATCTCCCCTCTAAACAATGTACCTCTACAACCTTCCATTATAAATATGAGTTGATTTGGATTGTGGAGATATACCAAAATATTATGATATTTCTCTTTTTTTCCTCTCAACTTGGTATTAGAGCTAAAACCTAACTTCTTTCTGGTTGTTGCCTTAGGCCAAGAGTTTCCTTTTTGTTGTGTGTCATAAGTACCCTTTACCTGGTCCAACAGGCTTCGTTGGAGGGGGCATGTTAGAAGGCCCACATCGTCTGCCTCATATCAGGTTGTATGGTTTGAATACCTGTTAAACTACTCCACATATTGTTAATTGGTTTTATGTTGAAATCTTAACATAGTATCATAGCAGGGTTTATCCTGCTTAGACTGTTCTTGTTATGTTCAGTCTGCCGACTACCTCCAGCTGCCGCCAGTTGTCGCGGGTCACCATTAGTCGCTGTCGGGCCCTGCCACTACCATCGACGTTGTTTGCCGTCACTGTCATCTGCTGGCGCCGCTGCCCTGCTGTTTGTTTGGGGGTTCCTCTATCTGTTTTTCTCCGTTTGTGTGTTGTCTTATCTCCTTTGGGTCAGAAATGACCTCTAGACCCGTCCCAAATTTTTCTGATGAGGAATATCAAGAATATTTAAGGTTGAAGTCTAATAGTCTAGCCTTAACTCCCAGCATGTCAACTACCTGCATTTCACAATTTGTGGAGGGTCAAAGTCCATGGATTATTGACTTAGGTGCTTCTAACCATATTTCTAGTAATACTTCTATATTCTCTTCTCTTTCTTATTCTAAAAATCATCATCTTGTAACCCTAGCCAATGGATCCAAAGTTTCTTCTCAAGGAATTGGCCAAGTATCCCTTTCTCCTACCTTACACTTAAAATTTGTTCTCTTTGTCCCTCTACTTGACCTTTTAATTTCATTTCTTTAAGTCAGTTAACAAAATCATTAAACTGCTCTGTAACCTTTGATGCCAATTCTTTTATTATACAGGAACGTGGGACAGGTCGCCTGATTGGAAAGGACATGAATCTAAAGGTCTCTACTACTTTGGATCTAGCTCATCTATGTCCCATTTTGCATCTCCTTCCCCCAAACTTAGCAAAGTTAAAGAAAACGATTCCATAACTTAGTCATCTTCAAACTATAGAATGTGAGTTTTGTCAATTAGGAAAACATGTTAGCTTTTCCTTTCCTTGACATTCTAAATTTAGACGTGAGTTTGCCTTTTCTATCATATATTTTGATGTTTGGGGACCAAGTCGGGTTTTTTCTTTTGGTTTTAAATATTTTGTTACCTTCACTGATGATTTTTCAAAATACACTTGAGTTTATTTAATGAAAGATCGTTCTGAACTTTTGTCTATCTTTACATCTTTCCTTAATGAAAATTTCAATCAATTTGGGAAAGTTATTAAAATTTTAAGAAGTGACAATGCCAAAGAATATTTTGTCTAATTTTTCTGCACTCTTAAAATCACATGACGTTTTACATCAGTCTACTTGTCCTCACACGCTTCAGCAAAATAGTGTTGTTGAAAGGAAAAATAGACACTTAGTTGAGACTGCACGAATCTTATTGCTTGGGCCCAATATACTGATTCATCATTGGGGTGATGTTGTCCTCACTGCCTGTTTTCTTATTAATAGAATGTCCTCATCTTCTCTTAACAATAAAGTTCCTTGTTCCATTTTTTATCCCAATAAACCTTTCTTTCATGTTTATCCTCGTGTGTTTGGATGTATCTGTTTTGTTCATGATATGACCCAGGATTGGACAAACTCTCCGTCCGAGCTATCAAGTGTGTTTTCTTGGGTTATTCCCATCTTCAAAAAGGATATCGTTGCTATTCTCCTAAAACCAAGAAATATTACATATTTTCCCATGTTACCTTTTTTGAACAAATGCTTTTCTTTTCTTCATCCGTTTAGGATTTTCAGTCTATCCAACAGGTCTTTGTTATACCATTGATTGAGTCTCTTGATCCGTCTACTAACCCATCATCTCCCATTCAAGATGTGCCCATTCAGGATATGCCTGCTCCATCTGTTCTACCTCTTATTAGTTACCAATGCAGGACCCAAGTGACTAGTCCAATGCTTCAAGATGAGCCGTCTTCATAAGGTACTTCTCAACCATTGCCCTCTTCCACAGTTCCTGATAATGATGATTCATCTTGGTCCATTGTCCTCCGTAAAGGTACTCGTACTACTCTTAATTCACATCCTATCTATAATTTTCTTAGTTATCACATATTGTCTCCTTATTGATCTTTTATATCCTCTGTCTCTTCTATTACTATTCCTAAAAATGTGAATGAAGCACTTGATCATCCTAGATGGCGTCAAGCCATGATTCTTGACTAGAAAAATGCAGGTCGTTGATCATAATAATACATGGGAATTAGTTCCCCTTCCAGTCGGGAAGAAGACTATTGGATGTCGATGGATATGTAACATTAAAGTTGGTCCCAATGGTGAAGTAGATTGTCTCAAAGCCCAAATGATTGCAAAAGGATATACTTAGATTTATGACCTTGATTACAATAATACTTTTTCTCTAGTAGTCAACATGACTACTATTCGTCTTTTTTTTTGCTATGTTAGCTATTCGACTTTGGCCACTTCATCAATTGGACATTAAAAATGTCTTCCTTCATGGTAATCTAGATGAGGAGGTCTATATGGAGCAACCTCCTGGGTTTGTTGCCCAGGGGGAGTTTGGTTTGGTGTGTAAGTTGCGTCGTTCTCTCTATGATCTAAAGCAATCTCCAGAAGCTTGGTTTAGAAAATTTAGTTCCATTGTTCAAGCCTTTGGGCTGAGATGTAGTGAAGCAGATAATTCAATTTTCTATTGTCACACATCTCTTGGAAAATGTGTTTACTTAATAGTGTATGTGGATAATATTATCATTACAAGGGATGATGTCACTAGAATATCCTAATTAAAAGAACACTTATGTAGTAATTTCCAAACCAAGGATCTTGGAAGTCTCAAATATTTCTTAGGTATTGAAGTGGCCTAGTTAAAAGGTGTTGTAATCTCTCAAAGGAAATATGCTCTTGATATCCTAAAAGAGACTGGTTTAATAGATTGTAAACCTATGAATAGTCCTATGGACCCAAATAAAAAATTAATGGCAAAACAGGGGGAAGTTTTCTCTAACCCAGAAAGATATAGAAGGCTGGTTGGGAAACTTATTTATGTTACTATCACAAGACCTTATCTGTCATTCGCAGTAGGCGTTGTGAGTCAGTTCATGCAGACTCCTTGTACGGATCATTGGAATGCTGTCATCCGTATCCTAAGATACACAAAAAAAGCTCCTGGACAAGGCTTATTATATGAAGATAAAGAAAATACTCAAGTTTTTGGGTACTGTGATGCTGATTGGGCAGGGTTTCCTATAGACAGACGCTCCACCATAGGATATTATGTTTTCCTTGGAGGAAATATCATTTCTTGGAAAAACAAGAAACAAAATGTAGTTGCCCGATCAACTGCTGAAACTGAATATCGAGCAATGACATATTTTACTTGTGAGCTTATGTGGGTGAAACAGTTCCTCCAATAATTAAATTTTTGTATGGTTCAACAAATGAAAATGTATTGTGATAATCAAGTTGCTATCCACATTGCCTCAAATTCAGTGTTTCATGAGAGAACAAAACAAATAGAATTGATTGTCATTTCATTCGAAAAAAGCTACTTTCCAAAGAAATCAGTACTGAATTTGTCGAGTCCGATAATCAACTTGCAGATGCATTGACAAAGTCTCTGAGAGGACCTCGGATTGAGTTTATTTGTTCCAAGCTTAGCACATACAATTTGTAGTTTCAGCTTGAGGAGGAGTGTGGGGGGGAAGTTATAGACACCTTTCCATACTTTGTGTCTGGAGTACTTCACTTAATTTCCTCTGCAGTATTGGGCTTTGGCGGTATTTATCATGCACTTCTGGGACCTGAGACTCTCGAAGAATCTTTTCCGTTCTTTGGTTATGTATGGAAAGATAGAAATAAAATAGATTCACACGATTTATATGTACTATATTGGTATTAATTAGTTGTATTTATGTATGAGTTGTATCTTCTAGATGTTAATCTTTTCATCTCCCCTCTAAATAATGTATCTCTACAACCATCCATTATAAATATGAGGTGATTTTGGTTGTGGAGACACTCAAATATTATAATATTTCTCTTTTTTTCCTCTCAATTTATATCATCCAATGTATAAAATCCTAGAAAACCCTCCAAAATTATAAGAATATTAAATTTCCTAGTTGGTGGGCCCACGTGCTTATATGTGCTGGTTTGTGAGTTGACATTATTTGAACACTTCAGAATTGGATCTACATGGATTTGATACCAGTAGAATGCAACTGTAGAATATCAAAATTACTCATAGACACAAGTCATAACATATGAAGCATCATTATGTTATGATGAAGATATATCAAGAACATGTACCTGAATTTATTTCAAAAGTAATGATAATTGAAAAGAAATTACTGTGTTGATTAGTTTGTGAGAGGCAACTCTCGTCGGCCTAACAGGTTCAAGTGTGTGTGAAAACGACATAATGGAGACTATTTATAAGAATTGATTACGTGTATTAATAAAATTATAGTTCCATATTTGACGCATAAATAATTTAAATAATATTATAATTGTTGATTAATGCTGATTCACATTAATTAAATGTAACAGGATGTGGAGGGTTCCTGATGTTAGATAGAAGTGGAGATGAAAGAATGAACGTGTGTGCCTCAGTTAGTACAGTGCTATTTTTGAAGTTAACAACCAGCTATCCATTAAAAGTTAAACCCCTAATATTAAACCTGATTGCTAAAAAGTCCTAATCTTGAAATTGATATAATCCTAGCTTTATAAAGTGTCATGGAAAAAAATATTACATGCAACTGATGCCATGTTGCATTGCATAAGTGTAATCAAACATTAAATTGTCCTATACATCATTCCAACCCCATTGTACTTTTTTGACTGTGGTTGTTCATCGTCCCACCAAAAGTTGGTTGTTTATATCCAATTTTTACTAGTATTTAGTTGTTGCATTATCACTTTTACATTATCTAATGTGTTACCATATCATTTAATGAGGTCGAGTTCTCCTATTGTCAAACTCATAAAATGATGTATCAAGTGAGTGACATAATTACATGATAGTGTACAACTTAGTTATACTAGACAGGGTACCCAAGTTCAAAAAAATCATAATTCTCTCTTCTTTTTTCCTTAACAGCAGAAATCATAATTCTCTTAATTGATGAATTAATTTTTAGCTGGTGATCCAATGAAATTGAAATATGGAAGAGCTAATATTCATGTAGTAGATGCATTAATGTTAATATACAAATATATCTTATGTTTTGTAGGCTTATCATCCTCATGGAAATGTGGCAATTGGTCTTGTTGATTCTTATTATGCTGAAACCAAATGCGGTGTTTGTCGTGCTGGGACAGATGAACATCTTCTACTACTTTGTGATCTTTGTGATACTGCTTCACACACATACTGTGTTGGCCTGGGTTATACTGTTCCGGAAGGTGATTGGTTTTGTCACGATTGTGCTATTTCCCGGGAGACCAATGCCAACGAAGAATCAGACCAACAAAATGTGCCAGAGGCTGAGCCAAGTGAACCCGTTGATATCTATGATATTGTGAGGGAAACAGGCAGTCGGGTGGTTATAAGACCAAGGACATCTCCTTTCCAACAGAACCTGTCATCTCCTTCTGCTATACCTTTATCAGATAGGTTAAGTAGATTAAAAGGAAAAAGTCCTGCCACAGGTGTCCATGATATGCAGCGTAGTCTACAGGCATTTCGTGAAAACTGGAATGCTTTGAGGAGTGGCTCATTACAGTTCCATCGTAATGCGAATCAACCTAGAAGCACGGTTAGTCAAAAACAAGATTCTAGATCCTTCTCACATGGAAAATTAGATGATTCACATTCTAGGGCTTCCACAAGCCTGCAACAATCCACTGTCCAAGGTGGTCCTACTAACAAAACGTTGAATGAGAGAGTCTTTAAAGATGCTGAGAAGGCTTGGAAAATGGTGGACAGGGCAAAGAGGATGCAACTAACTAATCAAAGAACTAGCAACCTTCCGCAGGGAGTAGATAAACCTTCATGCAGTGGAGCTAGAAATACATCAATTACACATTGTAATTTCCCATCACTGAAAGATCAATGTTGCAAAGCATTAGATTTAAGGAACAGTAAGAAAGAGAAGGAGTGTGAGTATTCTAGGCTCGTCCAGAATTTGGCAAATTGCCCGGATGTAAAGCTCGAAGAGAAAAAGCAAAGTAGGGCTAGATGTGAGGATATGATACACCGTGTAAGGGACTATACTAATTCAGAAGGATGTTGTGAATGTCCATTTTCCAGAAAGGTCGGTACTAATATCCAGGGTGGTGTTCCCAGTCGTGAAGAAGAGAGAAACGCTTGCAAATTAACTTCAGCAGATTTAGCTTCCACGCATGGCAAGTTTGTTAATGTGCGCTCCTCTAGTAGAGATGTGGTTCTTGTTAATGAAGAAAAGAGATTAGCTAGAAGTTGTGAGGATGGAAGCACAAGAAAAACTGACGATGCAAAAACTGAGATCCAGTCTCTTGTTAAATTGAATCTGAAGCTCTTAACAAGAGATAAAAAATTAGGTAATTGGTTGTCAAATTTATTTTTTTTGCTCTATTTACATGATTATTATTGGCTGAAATGTTCATGGGTACTTTGTGAACACTTTTTACAATCCAGATCTGATCTTTTAATTAGGTAGAGTATGTGCTTAGTTAAGCTTATTTTCGAAAAATAATCACTTATTTTTGTCAACATCTTAAGAAAATTCTTGAAAAATAACAACTATTTTCTTCAAATCATTTCCAAATGTACACCAAACTCATTTGGTTTGCACTTAGCATTCTACATTTAGCATATCAACGTTATCTCCTATTTTCATTCATTTGATGTGAGGTGGAGATACAGAATGCACCTCTATGTTCAAACATAAATTCTATACCTCGTCTTGGTTTCTCAAATTTTCCCACGAAAGACAAAATTGTTTGAGGAACTTCTTATATTGCTGCTGTTTTTCTGGAATTCATGTCGTAAACTGTTAAAACAGTTTTTACGCAAATGATAGCTGTTACTCGAATGTAAGTATTTCACTTAAAAGCTATTCGTGACGCAGGTTTTGAGACCTTCAAGGCAGTTGCAAGGCAGGCCACCCATACCATCTTGGCTGCTTGCAGTTCTGAGCCGCAAAAGTGTAGTACATCCTCCTCTAGGTCAGTATGCAACCATTCCGACGATACTCCTCAGTTTCAGAAGTCTACTTTAATGCCTAATTGTTGCAGGCAATGCTTTTACGCCTTTGTAAACAATGTTGTCAGTTCCACCATAATGGAGAAAGTGGGTTGCGCTTGACCTGCATTTCTTTTTTTTTTTAATCTTTGGGGAAGTAAATTATCTGTTTCTATTGCCGTGGTTATTGTTCTCCTTTGTAAAATTTAAGTCGGAGGTATAGCAGTGTAATCTATTTACTTTCCACCTGGTTGGAATAGTAGTTGAGAATTTAAATTGAAAAATAGATATTCGTTTACTGATTCTTCAAGTATCCATTCAAGTATGCACAATACTCATCATGCAAAGCCTGTACATGAAAGAAACATTTTTTTTGCACTATGCAATTGTATCACTTGTTTGGGTACACAGTCGTACAGAGAAAAAGCAAAATGTACAGTTGTCTCCAATGAGTGTGTGGACTAGCATTACGTAACGAATCATGAAAGCACTAAAAACATCAGGAGGGTGTTGTTTTACAATTGAAACAAACGTTGCCTCCACCAAAGCAGCTGCCTTTTGCAACCTCTTCAGCCATGGAAAGTTTTATCTCCAATTCTTCGTAATTATAAAAATTAGTGATTTAACGACAAATGTTTTTGTGGCTAATTACTGGATCACTAATTTTTAATGATTAGTTTTTAAGAACGAAAATGATTATTTTGTCATCAATTTTAAATTTTCTAGTACGATAACGTGGTTCAATGGTTCTCGTTTACTATATTGAAACTTTAAAGGATGTCTGGGAAAAAAAATACAACAAAACCTATGTACGACTACAATGGAAAATTTGTTCTCAGTTTGGTGAATATGAAATATGTGAATGTTCTCCAATCCAATCGATTTCCAAACAAGCTCTTTAGTGGATCTGGAGTGCTTTGGAGCTCAAAAGTGTTATCTCAGTAGTAGCATGATTCAGAACTCCACGCATAAAAGTAGAGCAGTTTTAGTGGCCCAGTCCATAAAAATTGAGCATCACTATTGGGAAAAGATTGGCAGAGGAAATAAAGCAGATGCAGGTGCGGGTTTAATTTCTGGAGTAAAATTTTCTAACTATTAATATCTCCTAATCGTATGAAAAATATTACATTGAAATTCTTTATATATTATTAATTAATTTTAAAAATCGATACCAAAGTCTTCCATATTAAAATACTGCCGTTAATATCAATAAATAATAAAAAAACGATGTAATTTCAAGAAACTTCAGAAATTATAAGTATTATTTACTATAATTTGTAACGTAAAGTTTTTGTAATATTTTTCAATTATTTGTTGGTTCATTCTTAAACTCTTGCAAATAGCAATGATCTGAATGATACTGGATTCATTGTTAATTGGATGAATAATATGGTTATCCGAAAAAGGTGGCCACAGTAGAATTGCACAATTCTAGCAGTACAGTTCTCCCGTGACAGCATTGTTTATTTCACAAAAAGGTTAAATTGGTGCAGTTCACGTTCCTTCAGTCATCTGAATATATTTTCTTCTATGGGCGAAATTTATTTAAAAATAGGTATTTTAAAATGATTGGAGCATCGGGTATGAATTAAATTTTGGTAGAATTGAAACGAAAAAGAAAAGAATAAATAAATAAAAATAAAATATAAAGTGGGGTGGAATAGGAATAGGAAATGGAGAGAAAAGAGAAAGTGGGGTGGATGGAGACACTTGTCCTAGCAGAAGTGGGTCCATGCATGTTGGCGTAGGTAAACGACAAAGAAAGAGAGGCACGTGAGTGAGGCACGTCATGTGAAAGAAGTGTCTCTCTTCTTGGATCGCTTTCAGATTTGAATGACCCATAAACGACAGGTGAGTTGAGAAAGGAAAGCACATGCCCCCACTCACCCCTTTTTCTTCTTTTTTTCCCTCTCTCTCCCCTCCTCCCTCTCTCTGGGTCCCTCACCCACCCCCACGTGACACCCTCACGAGAATGATAGCGACACCCCTCCCTCGCATACATCTATCATACATCATTCCATCACCGCCACGCCATTCACCATGTCTCTCTTCCACGTGCTTTCATCTACCTTTTCTCTTCTTTGCTTTTCCCATTCTTTCTCTTCCATCTCCCTAATCATGTTTTATTCTTATTTCTTCGTAATTCTAATTCGTCTTTCATCTTAGTTTTTCAGAAGCCTAGGGTTGCTAAAGGGTAAAATCGGAAAATCGGAATGAAGGAGAAATTTGGTAACGGAACGATGACACTAAACGGCGGTTAAAGTGGGGGAGAAATAAATGGTCCCCACCGCACGCGGGGTAGACCAACAAAGGCAGGGGATGATCGCACGTGACTTACTGCTTCTTCACGTGCTCTGTGCTCTGTCAACTCTGCTGCTCCCTTATTTCTAACAACAAACTACCCTCCTTGCATATCTCACATGTCATAATTTTTTTTACTCTTACTTTTTATTTTAAATTAATAAATTTTTACTTTTTCTTAATAACTGAAAATAAAAACAATTTTATTCCATGTTTAACAACATTCCATTAAATATAAGTCACGGATTTAGAGGAGTAGTTATTTTATACCCTTACCCTAAAATTGACCTTATTGTGGAAATTTTACGGTGAAACTTTTATGATTACGAAAAATCACCCAGAAAAAGTAGAGAGGGTTGGAATTTTGATGATCACGAAAGCTGAAGTAGAAGTAGTTGAGGAGTCACATAGTTTAAAACACGAGGCCAGTACTAATGAATAGCGAGGGAAAATTCAATGGCGTCGAAAATTCTAACAAGTAACTCAATATTTCAACTCCTTTCTCATGCTTCACCCAGACAAGTATAGCACAATTACGGATTTTTACTTGCATCACTATGAATTTGATTTAATACATTTCCACCAAATGAAGGTTTCAAGAAAGTTCAATCAAGTTATAATAGTGATGTTGTAAATTGCATTATTAGTATGGGTGTTTAATTTATGTGGTATAATTATAACAAAAAAAATATGAAGTCTGATCTCATTATTTAAAATTATAATTTGATTCTGGTAAGGATAACTTTTTAATAGTACTTTAATTTAATGAAAAATTACGTGAGTTAGATTAAATAAAAAAAAATCATTCATTCTCATTTTATAAAAATTATTGTCCTTTTTAAATTATAAAATTTATATTTTCTCTTGAAGATCATGGTCATTTCCCTTATTTTTTATTAAACATTAAAATTTTTATCTCAAGTAAAATTAAATTTATATATATATTATTTTAAATATTGAACATGAACGAAAATTGTTTTTAATTTATTCATTATCTTAATTCAAATTCTTTATAATAGTATAGCATTAAAAACGATAAAGATTTTTTTTTTATATTAAAGTAGTTCTATTTCGTTCTAGTATAATTATTTTCAGAAAAATATGTGATTTTATATAAAAATAATATAGACCAAAATATGTGCTTAATTTATCCAAACGGGTGGTTTATGTCTACTATCAGTACTGTTTAACTAATTGATTAAACTATTTTAGGTATTTTAATTTCAGATATTGTTGAATGAAAATAATTATGATGTATAACTACCTCTTTTAACTTTTTACTTAATTGAAATTGAAATAACCGCTTGTGATGTAGTTTTAGCCTTTTAGGTAGAGAAAAGTTGTAGCCATTACATGTATGCTTCTTAAACTTATTATACCAGATCCAGTGGGAAGAAAAGGATGTTTCACCAGAAACTAAATTTATACAAAAAATGTTTCAGTTTTGATTTTGTATTTTTCTATTACAATAATTTATGAAACTGAAAAAATATTAAATAACTTTTGAATATTTTTAGGTTTGTTTGTTTGTCCAGAAAATATAAAGTAGGAAGAAATTAATGTAGGAAAATGAGTGAAAATAAAAAAATAAATATTTTAAAAAAATGTTACTTTACGCCATAACGGACTTATTTGTTTAGCTGGAAAAAAAAATGTAAAAAAAATATGTTTTCTTATAAAATATTTTTCATTAATAAAAAATTTAATACTCCACAACTAATTTTACATATAATTTTATAAGTGTACAAATATTAAATTATAATTAAATAAAAAAATGTATTTTCTTATATTTTGAATAGATATACTTTTAACTTTTTCTTTAAGCTATTGTAGCCTTAGAATTTTATGTAAGTTTTTAAATGAATTTCGTTAGTATCTTATTATTAAAAAATTCTTCAAATAAAACATCGAAATGTCAATTAGAAACTTAAATAATTTCTTTAATAAAATAAACTATTTTTATTGGATCAGCATTTTAAATAGAAATGTGACTAGTACCTAATTATAATAGACATAAACCATAACCACTTTTAAATATTAAAAACTTCACGTAAGGGAAAATAGGGTTATTTTTCTCCCTTAAGTCTTATCCTATATGGTTTCAAATTTTTATAGTTTATATTTATTAAAATTCATTCTTAAAAAAATCAAATATACGTAATATGTGTGAGTGAGAGAGAACACTAAAGGAATTAAAATTTTAAATTAATTAATAATTAATTAATTAACGTAAATATGGTGGAGCCGGTAAATATGATGAATGAGTTGGCCACGTGAAGTAAGAAAGCATGAAAACATTTTAATCACGTGATGGGTGCGGAACTTCCGGAAAAACCAACACGTGTCCATTTAATTAAGACGTGCAGGAACCCGATATGGTATTGTATTCTATTTATACCATATCGGCTGACTTAACTTAAGGCATGACTTAAAGTCACAGCTAATTATAATTTATTTATTAATTAAAATATGCACTTAACTCCTGATTCAAAACCATACCCATAACATAAATTAAAATAAAAAGGCTTTAGAAGTGTGCTTAGACTCTGTAATTATATTATTAATCACAAGAATGTCTCAAGAGTGGAGGGGATGAGTTCATAATAATTATATGACCTAAAATTAAATTGGATTTGTTAACTGATCCCTAAACTGATTCCTTAACAGAGGAATGTCACCACCTTCTCACCCAGCACATGCCACAAATATAAAATTCCTTTTTCATGTTTTCGTAAAACCTATGTTTACCAATCCATGATTAAATAAATTCGTAAAATATTAAAAGAAAAAAAAAAGATGTATATTTTTTTACCAATCAAATCCTTATGTATATATTTATCTTTTTTTTTTCTGGTATACATTTTTGGTGTTCATCTAACTCTTGCATTGTGTGTTTCCGCATCCACTTAAATATTAGAATTAACTAATGATTGAGATCTTCTTCATACGCAATATTATATAAAAAGTAAATGAATTAGTATTTGTAAAAGTGCATTGCACTACAAACTAGAGTGTCACGTTCTTGGTTATATTTTACTTCTGCTTTCTGTTTTAATTCTAAGTAGGATTGAGTAATTCATTCCCTAATAAAGATATTATACCAGTAGAGTATAGTTTAGAGGGTACTTTTCTTATTCTGTATCATAAAGTTGTGGTTATTATATAGGGCTCAATTCATCTTTTACATTTTGTTTCCGTTTCTCCACGAGTTTAATAGAATATCACTGAGACAATTATTGTACCCAAACAGAGCCCGATGCGATAAGAAGCTTTAAGCAGTTTTTTTTATGATGTTTTCTTTAAAAATATTATTTTATGTTGAGGAAGCACAGGGTTGCGACTCCGTGCATGAACCTTGTACGCTGTCGTTACGCATCAGAATCTTTTCTTATTTTAATCTTTTGTTTTTAATAAAACTCCGTTTCGTCACACTCTACGTAATAAAATAAATAAATAAATACAAATATTATACGTAATATATGGTATCTGAAACGGATTTATTTAGTAATTTAGCTACCATAATGGATGTGTTTAAGTTTTTTACAGATAATTTATGTGGTTTACGCTTGATTTATATAAACATGTCCCAAACAAGGGTATTTGTATATTTAGTTATTTGAACTATTCAGATGAAAAATTATTCAAATTGATTTCATTGCTTATAAAAACTCGTCAAACATTAAATTATCTTTGATATTTAAATTTTATTCATTTTTCACATAACCATCGTAAACTTTAATTATTGTCTCAATCGATTACAATTGTTTCAAATAGATATTTTCATATTTAATTGTATTTTATTTGATTCTTAATGTTTTCTACAAATAGTTTTTCTACAACATAATGTTCATTAACTGTTATAAATATCATTTTTTATCTTTTTGTTTCACTTCATTTTTTATATATTAAAACATAGTAAACATATGAAATTCTAAAATAAAAGTTAATCAAAATATATTTTAACTTTTAGATCTGTATTTTATCATGTTTCAGTTTTTGGAAAAAGTGATTTATAAAAATACAAGTAATAGACAACTAAAATTTAAAATGAACAAATAATTGTTTTTCCTTTGGTGGTTTATCTTAATTTTATAAGATGAATAATATTTTTACCTCTATTTTTATATATATACAGGCAAATTATTTGAAACCATTTGTAAAGAAATATTTTTTGTAACTAAGTCACCACTACGTGAATGAATATAGAATATAACAAAATTATTTGAAGATGAATCCACGAAATATCAGAATATTTTATAGAATAATATCTGAATAATTATTTAAAATGTTCGTGATTTTTACGTACTATATATAATATCTTAAAATGGTGTATCATGTATTTTGTTTAACTTGGTCGAGAAATAAAAAAAAAAATTGAGATAAAAACAAACATAGGTGTTTCGGGTGAAAATTTGATCGATTTCGGTTTCTAAGATATTTTGGTTCTAACCAAATTTCAACCATGTAGATTCTTTTACTTAGGCTAGCAAATAGTTTTCAATCGAAAATATGTATGAGAATCGAAAATGTCATAATATCGAGAATTGTTAACAACGCAACCTATCATACAGATTGATAATCGAAAGTATTATTTTTGGTATTTTTTATTAAGACACGCAAAGTAAAGAAAGCAGTAAAAATATCGAATCGAAAAGTAGTACAAAATATTAAATTGCAGAGAAATGTAAAATGCGGAAACCT